GACCTCTCTCCGACTATTCAACATTGCATACTACAGAGCTCTCACTTCGAATCTAGTATCCTTTTCACAGCTAAGGAAACGGGGTTCTGGTGGGACACAAGACCAGGCAACAACTGCCTATGCAGGGCCGATGGCAGCCACCTTGGAGAGATCGAAGAGCTCCATGGGCAACAGGTCCTCGAATACATCGCTACAGACGACGACGAATCGCCAGTGCCTCGGGCACTACTCGTCGACCGCACGCCGCCTTCACGCCGCACTCGGAAGTACACATCGTGGAGCCAACGCCGGCCCCTCCAAGGGATTCGCATACGTGGCACCAGCGACTCGGCCACCCGGGCCCAGATGTCCTCAGGCACCTTACGAACGCAGCTCGGGGCGTCAGGCTGAAGCTAGGCGACCCTCAAGGCCCTGAAAGGATCACAACAGTCGACTGTGACGCTTGCGGTGTGGCGAAGGCTCGCCGAGTGGTCCGCCGCGCTCCACGAGAAGCCAACGCAAGGGCGGCGCCTGGAGAGCGAATTGCCCTTGATTTCCACCCGATGGAAACCGGCTATGGAGGCTATACATCCGTATGGATCATGGTAGACCGGGCCTCCGGGTATGCGTGGGACTACTATGCTACCGACCGGTCAACGCCTACGATTCGGGCCGCTCTTACGACATTCATTAAGATGATGGAGGTACAATACGGCGCTACAGTCAAGGTCTTCGAGTGTGACAACGAGCTCTCGACAACCCACCGCCGAGTGGCTGCCGAAATAGAAGCAATAGGGATCCGATGCGAGCCCTCTGCGCCGAATACTCAAGCCCAGAACGGGGGCGCGGAACGCGTTGCAGCAGTCATTATTGAGAAAAGCCGTGCAATGCGAGCAGCAGCCAAGCTCCCGGCATACCTCTGGCCCGAGACAGTCAAGGCAGCTACCTATCTTTACAACCGCTCGCCAAGTGCTCGCCGGGGCTGGAAGTCTCCCTACGAAGTGTTTCATTTACGATACCGTACCGACAACACGGCGAAACCTGATCTATCTCACCTGCGATCATACGGCTGCAAAGCCTTCACGCTGACTGCAGATGCGCAACTCCGACGAAACCGCCTCCAAAGGCAGGCTCCGCGAGCCTGGATCGGGTTCCTAGTCGGTTATACATCAAGCAATTCCTTCCGCATCTGGAATCCGCTATCAAAGGAAGTAGTCACATCGCGGGATGTAACGTTTAATGAACAGCAGCTATTCGACGGGCGTTTAGAGAGCCTTCGGGACGATTTACTAAAGGAAGACTTAGAAGCTATTGAGAAACGTATCCGAGAGCTGCTTGCAGCAACAGAGCCGCCTCCAGCGTGGTCATCACAACTACCTGATGAGGAACCAGATGAGATTTTGCCAGGCTCTAGTAGCTTAGAGCAGGAGAATGCCGGTGATAGGCCCGCGAATTCTACGATAACGCCCGCTGTGCACGGCGATAGGCAACCGAGTTCCCCGCGAGAGCCCGCCGAGCAGGATACCTATACTACCTCCAAGTTTGAGGTTCTCCCCACGCCTCCGGATTCACCCCCATCAGCCTTCTTCCACGCCTTAGCTGTTTGTCTAGACGTGGAGGGGCGGGGGCGGCCGGATGGTGATGATACCGGAGGAACAAAGCTAGCGAAGGCTCGCCGAGTCGTCCCCGAAAGGGTGACGCCAAGGACGTCTTTCAAGGCTGCATTCCTAGCGGGCAGCCTGCAAGGGCCAAAGCATCGCAGACGCTCCTATCAGACTAAGGAAGGTAGCCTGGCCAGCTCCTCACCGAAGCTAGTAGGGGGAAGCTCAACTCGCCCTCTCGACCGCGCATATGATGATACTTACACGTGTGGAGGGGAAAAACCCCTTGCGGAAAGGCCACTGGCCGGAACGCCGTGGCGTTTGTTGGAGCGGCTTCCCAGCTCTCATGCTCAGATAGATAAACATCCATATAGACACCAGCTAATCGCAGCCGAAACCTCCCACCTGCAGAGTCATAAGGAAGCAGGCTCATGGATCGAAGTCGCCAAGGCAGCAGCAGGCAGTCGCCGAGTACTCGGCTGCCACTGGGTATACACATACAAGCTCGATAAACACGGCCGCTTCGTTAAGATCAAGGCACGGCTGGTAATCCGTGGCGACCAGCAGCCGAAAGACGAGCGAGATACCTATGCAGCCACCTTAGCCGGAATGTCATTCCGAACGCTCGTAGCCCTAGCTAACCGCTTCGACTATGAGATGTTGCAATATGATGCAGTCAACGCCTTTGTACATGCCAACCTCGACGAAGATATCTATATGGAAATGCCGACTGGATACCGAAAACCCGGCGTTATCCTCAAGCTTCGCAAAGCTCTGTACGGCCTCAGACGGTCACCTCTTTTATGGCAACAACACTTCGAGAAAGGCCTACTTTCGCTAGGCTTTCGGCGAGTACCCGGCGAGGACTGCTGCTGGCTGCACGAAGAAATCATCTTCTTCTTCTACGTGGATGACTGCGTCCTCTGCTACCCAAAGACCCTAGAACATAAGGCAACCAAGCTAATCGAATCCCTTCAGGAACTCTACCATATTGAGGGAGGGAAGCCTCTTCACTGGTTCCTAGGCATTGAGGTTATTCGAGACCGAGCAACCCGAAGGCTATGGCTTTCCCAGTCCGTGTATATCGACAAAGCCCGCCGACTGCTCGCCGATTCCTCGCCGAACCCTAGGCATAAGACCCCAATGGCCCTCGAAGAGCTCCTTCCTTCCGACTGCGAGTCAACCCCACAGCTCATTAACCTATACCAACGGAAAGTCGGGACGATCATGTACGCCGCGGTCATGACTCGGCCGGATATCGCCTTTGCATCAAGCAGGCTAGCACGATTCAACCAGAACCCAGGCCCCCAACATCACGAAGCCGCAGACCGGGTCCTCTGGTATCTCCTACGAACACGGGGTCTTTCCTTGCAATACGGGGCCGAGCCCGGCAGCGAAAACGACGGCCTTTCGGTGGCTTCTGATGCTAGTTTCGCGGATAACTCGCCGGACCGCCGGAGCTCACAGGCCTTTGCAATGACCCTCTTCGGCGGTATGACCTCGTGGAGAGCCAATAAGCAAGATACAGTCACAACGTCAACAACAGAGGCAGAGTTACTAGCTCTCTCTCAGGCAGCTAAGGAGGCTCTCTTTGCAAGCCGACTGATCTCATCCCTACAGATCGACCTGCAGTCGCCGACTGCTCGGCGAGGAATCGCCCCTCCTTCGCGAGTGACTATTCAATGCGACAACCAACAGACTATCCGTCTAGTTAAGGAGGAACTCATCAAGCTGCGTACGAAACTACGGCATGTCGATATACATAACCACTGGCTTCGGCAGGAAATCACACAAGGCCGGATCGATGTTATCTACACTCCGTCAGCCCAACTGCTTGCTGACGGCTTTACAAAGAGCCTCCCTCGAGAGGCCTTTGAGACCTTTATTACACAACTACGGCTCGCCGACCTCTCGGCGAGACTGGCCCAACACAGGGAGCAGGAACTGGAGGAGGAAAAGGAAGCCCTCATCATGCCGGAGGTCAGCCCGAAGGCGGTGCCTTCGAGCTGAAGGGGCGTGTTGAATTGGAGGCATGGAATATCAGGGCTCCACGATGTCACGTGAGGGATAATGGGCCTATTCGGGCAGGGCTCGACGAGCCCTCCATCGCCGGCCCTGTGACCGCGATCCCGGTCCCTGGGGCCCACAGGACCCCGGCCCCTGTGCGGCGGCGACGGACTGCCGCCTCCGGCAGCAGCCGTCTTCATCATGTATAAAAGACAGGCTCTAGGCCCGTCCCTTAGCAAAAGGGAAGAAGAATACACATGTTCAAGGTCATCAAATCGTCACATAAGCATTCCAACAGTAGTAACGACCCCTCCTCGTATGCTTGGCACGTCACGTCGAAGGATGGAGCACAACGTGTCTGACGCCGGCACCAAACTGATGCTTACAGTACTGTTTAGACATGTGAGTGATCACACCATAGTCCCACTTTTGCTACTACAGAAGAGGCATAGAAGGGCATGGGTGACTATGGATGCTAGGGCCAGCTAGCAGCCTTTTCCCCCTTGATGCATCAATGTACCTGGCGTAAGGAGCTGCTGGAGTTGTTGCAGCTTTCCGGACTCGGCATTGCCGAGGAAGGATAGCCCACAGGTATTCCTGTCGCATCGCCTACTCTTATGCTATTGGATTACCGGCCCCTGTCATTCATTGACTGGCAGGGGTTTCCCCCTTCTGGATAGAACTTATGTCAGCCGCCTGAGCGAAGTTCTCTTTCGTCCGATCTCTCCTCCTGTGGGAAGGATTTGCCATGATGGTGGTTGCGTGCACGCATGTAGACATCCGACTCTAGGAAGGGCGGAACTTCTGAAGTCTAGGATTGGTGCCTCCGTTCGTCAACATGAACGACTTTCGTGAGGTTATAATCGAGATCCCCGGATTTGCACGCTGGCCATACACCGTAGCTCGGACCGGGCCGAGCGGTACGACTGCTCCAACTGCTCCGCAACTGTATTCTACACGGAGCACGGATTGCCGGAAGGCCAGTGAAAACCACCACCGCGGCATTGCCACGAGCCACGGGTTCTAAGATTCTAATAGTGGTCATATTTGGACTACGGTGAATCACCATCCAATCCCGCTCTTGGCATTGCCGTACCTCCTAATAATAGCTCCTTTCATTTCCATCACTTGCTTACCATGCATACTTAATGGTGTCATTTTTTGGCAAGGATCATCCAACCAGCAATGAAAGATGACTTCCTATTGGCCTGAAAGGGACTTTGAGGCCACCTTCGTTCCGCCGATGAAATATAGCCCTGCTGGAGATTAACCAAAGGACTCCATCGCGCAGTTCTGGTCTGAAGTATTTATACCCGCAAATGATGCCATCAATCCTGTCCTACAACCGAACGTCTTCTGCAGACTCTTCCCGTATCGACCGAATCACTCATCGGCATCCAGCCCTCGATAGCAATGACCAACACACGCTTCCAGGAGTGGTACTCGAGCTACGGTACCCTATTCCAGAACATCTCCTCTAACGTCTGCAACGAGACCCTGCAAGGTTACCTGGCCGCCAGCAATGGCGACACGTGCGACCTTCACATCGACTGCATGCTCGAGAACACCAGGGAGAGCGTTAAGTCGGCCATCGCCTCGGCGGCCATCTTTCTCAGTCTTGTACCGACCGTCATGTCCATGCTCGGCCCCAGCTTGGTCCATCTGGCCATTCTTTCGACCCGCCGACCTATACTGTCCTTCCTCCTGAGCGTCGGCTCAAGCGAATTTTATCTCGACGGGCTGTTCCGCATCGAGTCTACAGAAGAATTGCTCTCCACCACCAAAGGAGAGCGGCTGTTCCCACGCATCAGAGGTCCGAGGGCCGTCCTGATCAGTGCCGGAGAATACGTCCTCGCATGTCTCGCTGTAGCCAACGTCGTGCACAACTCGTACCGACTGGGCAGCAAGACAATTGTCAGCTTCGTCTGCAACACGTGGTTCTTCCCGCTGGTTTGGACCCTGATGCTCCCGGGCATCTTCCTCCTGGTCGCGATCCCGTTCCAGTTCTCCGCCGTCGCCAAGGCCATCCGACAACGCTCTTACCGCCGGCAAGAACCGCCGAAGGCCGCCATCTTGGCAGCTTCGTCGCTGGAGCCACCGGCGCCGCCAAAGTCTGGCGCTCCGCATACGGACAGTTTCAAGGTGGCCAAAAACGTCGTTGCTCTCGAGGGGCTGCCGTCGCTGGGCCACCCGTCAATTCCGAGTCAGGATCTCCCGAATTTTGAGAAGTGGCTCACGATACTGCTCAACGTAGCTTCTTTTGTTGCTGCTATTCATGTCTTGGTTGGGATATGTTTCTTCTCGTCTATGCTCTTCATCTCTGTAGTGGACGCTATCGAGGTTACGTTACGCTACCTCGTGTCGGCTGCGGTGTGTCGGCTGGTCGTAACGTTGGAGTTTACAGGAATGAAGGCAATGGCGGACCATGATCAGGGAGACGAGTTTGGTAGCGCTAGACGTGAGCAGAGCCGACCTTAGTATACAGCGCTTAAATCGTTCACGATATTCGCATTCCTGAACTTCGGTCATCAATCCTCTTGATCATCAACTCCACGAGGCGTAAGCCATAAACAGCCCATTTCGTGCTCTTCCAATCATCTGGAGCAACTCGATGACTCAGCCATTGCTGGGCGATGCTCAAGTCTGAATGGGTTCTGGCGATAGAAGAGACTTCTGCGCGATGCGGGACGAAATAATGGCACTTGCAGAATAGCAGGCCCTTGGAAGCAGTCCCTAAGGGCTGTCCCAAGTACCATGGCGCATATCCCACAGTTTTCCTGTATATCTTAGGCGTTCATCGCGGATAACGCGTCCAAAACGCGTCTATCTGTGGTTATGGCGCCTAAATGGCCGCAGGCAAACAATGACCCCGAACACATCAACGAGCACGTCACATACCTCAGAGAAGCATAACACCAACTGCAGACGGTAGACAGGCCGGCAGAACCAGGTCCCCGTGGAATATAGCACATGCATTCCTAGCGTCTACTACAGCGCTAGCTAGTAAGGTCCTGCGACAGCCTGCCGTAGGAGAGATCCCCCAGCAAGTGCAAGACGCTGCCAGATGCACACAAAGCATTCAGAAAGACATCTCCATCATCAAAACTCCGTTAGGGCTAAGCACTAATCCGCTCAATGCCGCCAACTTCAGCGGAGGTAGAGCCGTCGCCGCGCCATGGGCCCAAGTGGCGGCACGGGCTTAAGGCTCTCCTCCGCTCCCACCATCAACATCCCGCTGCAGCCAGGTGGCCCGCTGCCATACATCCACTTTGATCTTGTTTACATTTAAATTAAAGATGAGTGGCTAAAACATAATGTGTGGTTTAAATCAGATGCCTTGAGCCGATGCGGATCCACGTTCCCTATAACCCAACGTACATGTTGAAACTCCTCCAATATACATATAGACTTAGCCATATAATTATCTCCTACTACTACGGGGCTAGATTCTATGTTGCCAGCAGTGATTCTTTCTGTTATAATCGCGGAAGCTCCGTGCTAGATCTCAGTCGGTCTTCCCATACTTTAGGTGCCATTCGTCATTGATGTCAGCATAATCCTCCGGAACATACGGCTCAATGATCTCCCTAAGCCAGCCACTCTTGCGGTGCACCTTCAGTCCCAGGTCGGCCATCATCATGTCCATATAAGGAACGGCCTCAAAGATAAAGTCACCATGCTTACTACCGGGATCATTTGGATATCTCCACCTACCGAACCGGTTATGCAACACGGTCTCGTAGTGGACCTGATCGAGCGTCATAGCCTCACTCAACGAATCCTGGTTGCGTGGAAGTACAGCGCTGCTCGGGTCGCGTCGAAGTTTGCCTTCAAAATAGGCACTGATCCAGAGGCCCTGAATATGGGCGGTAATCGGATTGCTGAAGTTCATGCACGAGCCGGCAACTGCAATGTCTTTGGCTTTCAGGAGCTCTGAGGTGCCAGGGACCATTAAATGATAGAGCATCATTGGGGTCTCGGGCAAAACAGGAGCGGTCTTGTCCTCGGGGGCGATTGAAAAGGCTTTGGTCTGAGTGAGGGGCTTGTAATCTGGATTGAAATTTGGCGGAATCTTCAACCGGGGGAATCGCGCAAGGATCTCGGCGTCGGCTTTTGCCAGGAGGTCTGCCTGCTCGGCCAGACCATCATCTGGGTCTGAATCTCTGTCGAGAGGCAGAGAATGGTGTGTCATGCCAATCTTCCTGTCTATTCCTTCGGGGAGAAATTTGAGCGCGGGAATATTCTTCCATCCTGTGACGAAGAGCATTGCATCAGTGTCGAGCACCGTTTGACTCGCGTCATCGAGGTGAACCTGGCCCGAACTTAGGTGCGATAGGTCGGCACTATGGATCTTCACCGTGCCGTCCCGAATCGGCTGGAAGAAATCCGTGTCGTAATTGAGAATGCTGAAGCTGCAGCCATCGTACATGGCCTCTGAGGTTGGTTCCAGTTTCTTGAACTCGGGATTCTCATTGAATCCCATGAGTCCAATTACGTCGGACGAGATCACATTCCAAAAAAGGTCCACAATTTTCCTCCCAATGGCTGTTCCGTGCCAGAATCTTTTGATACCTAGAAAGCCGCTGTCCTGGCCCCAGATGCACGGAGCAAACCAATGAACAAGGCGAATATCTTGGGTGCGGTTAAAGGTAAAATTCTCATGACCTGAACGATACTGGAAGGGCAGAACTCACTGACTAAGTACTCGATCCAGATTTTGAATGGGGTGACGAATGGAGGCGACATCCAACAAGGGCCATGGCCGGTCGCTAAATTTACTTCGGATTAGGTTTCCACAGTCTACTAAAGACAAGATTCGATGCTATGCGACACGACTCACGTCTGATGATCCAATCAACCTTGATCCCTTTCATGGCATAGGCGTAGACGGCATCCCAGGCAAATTTTGTGCCACCAAAAATGGTCACCTTCTTTCCACTTTCAAAGGTGTCGGTGTGATTAGCGAACTCCTTTGAGTGGAACAGAGGGTGACCGAATTCTTCTTGGCCTCGAATATGAGGCTTGAATGGCTGCGATACCAAGCCTGTTGCAAGCACGAGACGCCTCGTGAACACTTTGGAACCAGCACTGGAATCTTGGTCTTCTAAACGGCGAACATAGAGGATCCAGCCGCCATCGGATTGATGCTCGGCCGACTCGACTTTCGACCGTAATCGAATGATATCCACGAGGTCAAACTTTTCCGCGTATGCGTTGAGGTACCGGTTCACGACAATGCCGGGGATATGGTGCCGGGGTTTCACTCCGAATGTCGCTTCGTCCATGGGGAAGTCGGGATACTGGAACGAGCCGATCAGGTTATTGCTTTTGAGGCCTGGATACAACAGCTCTTTGGCCCAGACACCGCCAATTGACGAGCCCGAGTCAATGACGGCAACGGCCCCGCCTGGGTGGAAACAGCGGTACTGCTTGGCAGCCGCTAATCCGTACCATCCTGGAGGTGACGTGTCAGCATCACCGGTGAGAAAAGGCGCCTAATTGACTTGCCTGCGCCGATAACTACTAGGTCCAATCGCTCCATGCTATCAAGCTCCAAAACGTCGATGATGGGATCTCTGGCTCGTAGGTCAAAAAATGGTGTGTATCTTGCCCCAGCTGTACGAACGCAGCTGGTCAGCTAGTGAGGAGAAGGAGGAAGTTTGACTTCCGTCTGACTGGCGGGCCAGATGATATTAATGGGTGGCCACGAGGCACGTGAGATCCCGGCTAAATGCAGTGTTGTTACATCAAGTTCCGGGGAGGAGACATTCCCCACATGCGCCACAGCTTAAGGAGATACCCTAAAATACTTTATCTTGATAAATCGCAGAGTCAGGCGGGCTTTACTAAGGCGCGGCCTCTCTCAGATATCTAGCACGACACTGACAGGATCGGAGTCGAACCAGGCAAGGATCCTGAGCAGAGGAAGCACACCGACGTCATCGCCAGCAGTCTCGAGCCAATCTATAGCTCCCGACAGTTCCTCGTCACAGCGCCTCTCGAAGTATGCCTCGTCCTACTGCGGTAAGACCCTACAGGTGTGATTGATAGGCGTATCTTATTAGGGTTAATACTATGCCCAAGAACCGTTCTATAGCAGTGGCATCTAGGCCTGGGGCGAGGGTGAGGGAGTAGTAAAGCTTAGCGGGCTTTGCCCTAAGCTCCCTTAATATCTCAAACTTGAGATTGAGCCATTCTTGCAGCTCTTGAGTCCAATAGAGGGCGCCGGGAGAGAAATGTCACATCCAGTATAGGCTATTATTACACTACGCATTAGCGGAGTGTTCATTCCACTTTTTGCCGTAGTCGTCTGGTGCGACAAGAAGTCTTCGGCCTTAATGGCGATGTAGAGCTGCTTCAGAATCCCCTGCAGGGCAGCATCACGCTAAGCTTCCTCTTCAACCTGGAACGGGAGCTGCTGGAAGTAGGCAAAGGTGCGGGGTCGGTAGCGTTTCTTATCGTCTTCGTCGGACTTGGAGCAGGGGATACCGGGGGAGGTAGCTCGGGAGATCGGCTCGTATGGCATGAAGTTGGCGAGTAGGCTCGATGCCGCTGTCGCCGTCGGTAGGGCGGCGTGTGAGCCCGGGGGGCGGGGGCCAATGTTCTCGTCCATGGCGGCGCGCGGTCGGAAGAGTAGAGGATAAGTTTTCGTCGAGGGCCTCGCCCGGTTCAGAGGAAGCAAATAGCAAGGATTTGCTAGGGGTAGTGGAACGACGGAAAGAGGTTGCTTAGCTTCATGGCGATGGCATGTAAAATAAACAAAGAGCACAGGCAAGCGACTACATCGGTGCTTCAGTAGTAGAGTAGGGGGGGAATCTCAGCAACCGCCAGCCTGTCTTTGTGGACTGTTGCAGGCAGACACCCACCAAACATTACCAATCCGTCCTGTTCAATGCTCTCTTAGCGGCAGAAAGGCCGGCTTGTGCTCGCAGTATCCACACCAACTATTTCGCAAATCCGGGTCTCGATATTGATTAGTTGGGTTAGTTATCTCTATTACAGGTGAGGTGATTCAGTCGTAAGATGTGTTGCACAGCCATTCGGCCTGGCTATTCCATATGTCGTCGCTTCAACGCGAAGGAGAGGCCTTGACATGGCTTGACCCCGAGCACGCTGATCAAGCTACTGGGTTCCACGGCTGCTAGTTGTCTCTTTTCTCGGCGGTTATCCCGGGTGTGTTCCTATTGGCTTCCGCTAGCTTATCAAGAGAAAAAGAACCAACAGATGATGATGCAGGACTAGTCCGAGACGTGTCCCTCGGTGTCCCTCGGCCCCAAAGTCGAGAATCGATCTTGCCTCCACACCACAGGTGGCGCTTGATGTTGCCGGGCTACTTGCCATATGCACTGTGCGGGTGCCCTGGTCAGTTGACTGTGCGTGACATCGGCATGATACATCATTTATTGATTAAGATAGCCCAAGCGCCATGCGTGTCGCAACCCGCCGCCGGGGGGGAGGGTCAGACGCTGCAAGGATGCGGTACGGTGCCGCACCGGGGAACACACCCCAGGAGGATCTACGGATAGGATACCTGATTCACTCCCCTGCTTGCGCTAGCAGGAACATTGGCAGACCTCCAGCTTGTGCCGTAACGTGTGCGTGCGCGCGTTCTTGTGCTGGGACAGCTCACTACACCACAAGATACACGGTGACACGCGCTCGCCTTCGTGTCTCATCCGTCTACTAGCTCTACTAACAATCACAGACGAGAATATGTATCAAGTCATGACCCAGCCCTCGTCTGCCTTATTGCATCCGCTTCCAACGACAGCACCAACACCCATCGCTCTTGAGACGACAGCTGCCAACTCCACCTCCACAAAGTCGACACGGGGAATCCCACCAACCTCATTAGCATGTGGACTGGTAAGTGCATTGCTCCAGTAGCTGTTGGTCACTTGCTCTTGACACTAAGCAACGCGAGTAGTCTTCTCTCAATGCGCAGATTCTGTCGATCAAGGCCGAAGACTAGAGAACCTCAGTTGGCGACTTTGGCAACGCGAGACCTTCGATTGCCAGAGCGCCTCCAACAAGATCTCTCCCCAACCACTCCTCCAGAACATTCCCTACGAAAGCTGCATACCCGGCCCTCTCCAATTGTCCGGCAGCGTTGAATCTCTCACGGACGAGAAGGCCGATGATTTTACTTCCGTCCCAATACCTGTTGACACCTGCTGCCCCAAGACACGGATCCAGGGTTCGTACACCAGCTGCCGAAGCAAGCGAGAAAGACATATCAGCTCTGACGACTTCGAGAGGATGGCCGTCTCCATCCTCAAAGACAAGAGTCCTTTGTTGATACTGCTACAGAGCTGCCCCATGGTTGCTACTCTTAAGGAATCGCTCCCTGCGCCTATTGCCTTGGAGCGCTCCAGTTCCAGTACTACCAAATCCCAGTCGCCTTCTAAGTCAATTAGCAACCGCTTAGAGGCATCGCCCGAGTTCGCTCCCATAACGCCTTCGCGCACCATCATTGTCCGTGGTTTCTAATTACCCTAAGCTTCAGTCTCTTAAAGCATCAGCACCGTCCAGAACGCCCTATCCGACAGGATCCCTAAGCCCACCTCCTCTCCAGCCCCCAAGCCTGTACAGTCTAAGAAGTACCCGATAAAGTTCTCTCTTATTAGTACCTCCTTCTCATTATTTAAGCAGGACTAGTACCTCTACAGGCATAAGCCAGTCATCCCCAATATTAAGAGGCTCATATTTCAGATTGGCGGATCCCCTGAAGATAACGCTTTGCTCAAGAGCACCCTCGCCACTTCTCCACCTAGCTCTCTTTTCTCGCTCCAGAACAGTTAGGCGTCTTCTAGCACCAACGTCACGTCCCGCAGCGACGAGGATGAAGCCGCCGTGGACTCCAAGGTTAACTGCCACGACGAGTGTGCCATTGACAACGGCGATAACCCGTCGAATTGGGAAGACTATACCGAAGACAGCGGCAAATCCAGCATAGATGACAAGTTCTTCTAGCGAGTCGACTCCAAGCCTAACCTGCCTACTAGACGCTCTATTTATTACTCTTATACTGGCAAAGGACGACCGCGCGCACAACCTGGGCAACTACGCCTCGCAATCCACAACAGCCATTCCTCGGTCGCGCATAGCCCCCAATAAACCCTCCTTGGGCGCTTCTCGCAACGAATTGGACGAGACTCCATTAATAATAAAGGGCATGCGTCATCCTACCCTCAAGCCCATTCACGAGATCCCTCGATCCAGCCCTCAATCCATTCATAAAAAACCCGACCATGCTGAGAATCAGGCTGCTCTGTCACCGCACACTACGCGCCGCAACATGCTTGCAACTGAGCTTACCGAGTCGCTCCGCCGCCACCTCCTCTGGGAACGACAGCAGAAGTCGTCGACAGCTGATGCAGTTCTGAGCCGGAGCCACACCTCGGACAATATGACCCACCTTGAACAACACCTCAAGAAGAGCTGCATCAAAACGAGCGAGGATGTCAGCGCCAGTAGCAAGGACCAATGCTTCTTCAAGAACGTCGGTAATGGATACCACGTCAAAGGCTGGTGACCACCTGCTGAGAGCATACAGAAGTGCACCAGTAGCGTCTCGTATTGTCTTCATCGGACTTGGCACCGTGGTGCTGGGGGAGTCGCTCGGGAGATGGGCTGGTAGGTTAGGAAGTTCGCGAGTAGGTGGAATTATGACGCCGCCAGTAAAATAGCGGGTGAACGCGGGGATCGAGGATCAATAGTATCGTGCATTACGCGGCACAGTCAGAAAGAATGAGGTCGTCGTCGCAAGGTCTGTCAATTTCAGGAACAGCAAACTCGGAGGTTCTGCGGACCTCGGAATAATGGCGGGAAGCAGCCACTCAGCTAAATAGTGCACCTTGAATAAAGAAAGTAATCATGTCAATAAACCAATAACATACTGAGCGACGATAAGAGGTACAAACAACAGAGCGCGAGGAAGCTCGGCACTGTTGACGAAGCTGGCCGGCCGAAGTAATATGCAGAAGAAAAAGATGGGACGCACTTCTTTGGACCGAATTTTCTTTTAGGGGACTACTTACAGCAGTCCCACCAGAATGCAAAACGTTGCACCAGAGCCTTGTTAGCAGCGCTAACAAGCTCTACGATCACTTCGAGAACGAAAAGTCTCAATATCAATCGCCCGTTCAAGTTCCAAGCGTTCAGGTTCCAAGCGCTCAGGTTCTAAGCAAATATCTACTTCTTATGTTCAAATGGTTGTGCGAGGATGGGAACTGATGTCGAAAAGTACATTTTCAGTGTGTAGACAGACACTTGCCAAGCTGCGATGGCTATATTATATATTAAACAGCCAAGTCTGGCCGTCTACTGGACTAAATTATGATGCAAGAAACATTCCGAATGATAGATGACCGCATCAGTTTGGATCGGGTTCTCTGAATCTGATAGTGTCCCATTTGAGAATGTAGTACATCTCAATTTAGGCCAATTCTTAGACCACTTTTTGTTTGAAGATGGTCTCAACGGGATCTTCTACTTTCATAGATCGATAATATAACATTTGGCTAAGAGACTCAGCAACACTAATCACAAACTAATCTATTCGCCGGTGCCTAAGTAGTCCTCTAGCCGTGAACATGAACAGTTGCTGGGAACCACTTGGGAGATAGAAGCCACCCACTGCCGCCAATACTAGATACTCTAAATAGGGTCGACCTTGCGCCCTACAAGTCCTCGGCTATCATCTACCATGAAGCCGTATCCCGGTGAGGCATACACCGTTCGCTGGGGTACGCCCCCGACCTAGAACATCGAGTCTGGGCTAGTATCATAACCGTACGAAAAGCCGTCAATTGGGCCTGCCATATAAGTCTGACTGGTTCACCGGAACGCCTGTATTGGCATATGTTGTTGCTGACGGGTTGGTCTGTTGCTGGGCGAATGAGTCCCTGGTCGAAGTGTTTGGTGCAGTAGAGCTAGGCGGCCACTGTTGGGTATACAGGTTGGTACCAATCTGTCCGGAACATCCTTCTTGGGGCCCCAAGATCGGCGGTAGTCGGCTGGAGTTTTGATTGGTAGCGGTGCCATTGTCGACGAGGGTGAGGTCTCCGCCTCTGGGATGAACCGAGGTTTGGGTGCCAGTAGACTCCACGAATCCATGTGGGTTCGTTGTGATCTCCGGGGTTATCTGTGGCGTAGGTTGAGTTCGTTGCACCAGAAAGTCACTAGAAAAAGAAGGCAATCCATGCGGGGCTGTGCCCAAACTATAATCCGGCGTTTGCTGCGTCAAGCTCTGCGCAGTTGACAGTCTCGTCGCTGATATATCCCGGTCACCGTCGTCCTTCGTGGCCGATCCGTCGTCGTTTTCGGAGCACGTTTCCGGGATCTTATCACTTGCCACCACATACACCTTTGTGGTTCCATCTGTTCGTCTGTTAGCGCCCAGCTAGTATCGAGAGACGCAAGGGCGATTTACCGATTTCTTTCTTTTTGAACCTCTCCTCTTGCTTGGCTACCTTAAAAATCTCGTTCAGGTACGGTCGCTTTTTTACGTTCGCTGAGTTTTCTTTATCGGCAAAGAATGCTGACAATGCCTCGGCAGCGACCTCTTCAAGCTTCTTGACGTTAAGGTTCAGTTTCTGGATGTCGGGGTGCTATTTGTCCTTTGGCTCCATAGCCATTCGCAAAATGTGGTTCAGCAGATGAACGCGTTCTGAGAGAGTGTCAGATCGTCTATGTAGTTGAGATTGCCATCGTCAACTGACCCCGCTTGTAAAGATGATCCGGCTCCTTGTGGCGGACCTTGTCCTCCCTGGTCAGACCCCATGGTTTAGGCCACCACTTTGGCGCTTTGTCATCGCCCCCCGTATAAGGATATGTAGACTGCTTCTTGGGCTCAATAGCCTTCACCCATGCCTTAGCAATGAGCTTGCATGCCGCCTGCTGGCAGTTGGTGAATCGCTGTTCATAGAAGTTCCACACATCCTGGGATTCGCCAATCTTGATCCCTTTACTGGGAACCGAGACGACAAGGGGAGCATGTTCATCATCGCAAGCTAAATCGCGAGCTCGGAGTCTCTTTCGACTTCGTCGTTCAGGATTATTCGAGTAATTGAGATTTGGCATGCGGTGATGATCAGTCATTGGATTCCCTGGAAAGCCCATGGATTGTTTGTGGAACCCCCCGTCAAACCCGGAGGGTTCTTCAAGCATGGGATTTTCTCCTAAGCAAGTCAGTATCAAGCTCGGCGTGGGTAGAATAGACACTTA